ACATAAACAAGGATCACTAATGAAGGATGGAATGAGGAGGAGGGGGTATATCTATGAAATAAAAGGAAATAAAGGGCAAAAACAGGTTAACAAACGACTCTTTTCAAACATCACAGAATAGTAATTCTAATTTTTCAAGTTAAGCAACACTCTAGCACCTGCATAGAGAAGAAAGCTAAAAGCCAATATTGGCAATTTTACTTTGGCTATATTTGTATCAGGGAGCATGTTCCCAGTGCCAAGCTATTTAATTAGTTTTCAAATGAGCTGTCTGTAAATGAAAGCTTTGTAATTACTTTAAAGTTTTATAAATGCAATTTTAATTTCAAGATTAAAATCCATGAAAGGCTGGATATTATATTTTTGCCTTGGTATTCTTTGTTTGTTCTCTTCAATGTGCACATCTATATACAACATATGCATATAACAACAAAAAGGGAATGAAATACAATATTGGAATAATACTTATTTTCCAAAGAACTTCAGTTCTTGTGTAAAATAAGTAGACAGCTTCAGTGGGCTAGGAACATCTCTAATTTATGGCTATAAAATACCTAACATACAGGGGGTAAAACTACTGAAAGCTTTGTTTCTTTCTTGCACACTAGAAGGTACGATTTAACCACTGGCTGGCTGGCATACAAGGTTGAAAGAAAAAAAAAATATACAGGGTAATAGGTGAGATGCTCACAAATTCAACACAGCATAAACGTACACACAAGTGAACTAGGGGAAAAGAGCCAAGTGAAGAACAGACAAACAAATGTATTTTCTACTTTAACTGCATAGCACCTTTTAAAGCTTCCTCTATTCTGTTTGCTAATAGGTGGGACCCTGAATAAATTAATTCTCCACTGTTGGCTACCACCTAATACCCACCATGATTTTACTAGATACAATATGCAACTATATATACACATATATAAGCATACACTCTCAAAATACGTAGGATCATCTCAACTTCTTTAAAGCAACATGACCAGGACACAATGAGGGATTCCTTTATTGGCATATACAGTTAGTTTATAAGCCAAGACATGGCTACTTTTTTTTTTTTTGAAGTCTCATTTAAATGTCAACTATTCCACCTATTTTAGCAGGATTTTAATGGTTAGTTGTGATCAAATTGAGAAGTGATCCCATGACTACTTATTTTAGTTATGATTTATATTAAAAGAAGCAATTATTAAGTTTGGCTTCAAGTTGGCAATGCATGCCTACATAAGCATATTACCAGGATAACGCTTTCACATTGCAGCACGGAGACTCACAGTTAAGGCACACTGAGAAGTTTGCACTGCATCTGCCTAGGCTTCCCCTAGCCCATCTCTACATAATAAAAATTGATTAATTAAATCTCAAAAGTGCTTGGGTCACTGCTGAACAAAAAACAATTATTCCAGGTAAAAATGAAGCAACTCCAATCCTGTAAGCACTGTCACACATTGAAGCCAAATGCTCTTTTTATCATTTTTCCTAATAAAGAAAATTAGGAAAAGAAAAGGGAGGGACTATAGCACAAGGTATATGTTAATGGCTTCCAAATGTGTTTTCTGTGAAATGTAAATGATAATTTACAAAGACATTAAATTAATGAATGGAAGCAGTATCAGAGGAAGTCTCTCAAATGTGCAGTGTACCTGAGGCTTCACAAGTGGCATCTTTTCATACTGTTTTACTCTGAACAGAAAGCTGCATCTTTGACTCATTCAGAGTCAAAAATGCATATAAACTAATACAGAAATATATCTGTCCTGGCCAGCAACAGACTCTCTTTAAATTAAATGTTCTAAATCTCTTTTAGAAGTTCCTCTCTGAACCAAGTACACTTTGATTTCTAAACATTTCCATTTATTCTCGTTTCACATGAAAACAGCTTTAGCACAATTATATTATATTATTTAAACTTTTGCTTAAAGAAAAAAATTGAAAATTAGGAGCACATGGAACTCCCTACAGGAGAATATTTCCCTGACAATAACAGATATTTAATCTAGTTTGGTTGTGGCAACCTTTTAGAATAGATGACACACAGTAAGCAGAATTCTGCAACTTTGAAGTAGTCAAGGATTCCATTTGTCATTTCTAGTACCATATAGAAGTAGTGAATTGCTATAGCACCGAGAACACCATTTTTCTCCAAATGATCTCCAAAGCAGTAATCTAATCAATTTTTTAAGACATCTCAACCACATGCATATGTTAACACTTTAAAATTAAAAATGGGCAGTAAGGGTTCAGTAGTAGAACATATTTAAAAAAAGAAAGAAGTTGTGCAATTTTCATAGTTTAGAGCCTCGGTAAGACATCACCACACATGGAATATAAAAATATTTTCTTTCCACTTTTTTCCAGAGCTAACCTGTCTGCAGCAACCTTGTTGAAGATATCCTTCAGACAAGCTGAAAATGAACAGAACACAGTATTTCTTCAAGCAAATACAAAAAATCTATTTTGAAACATGACTGTTTTGGAGACACCAGTGAGCAATACATTTCCTAGGTTTTTTTAATACAAATAAATATATTAGTCCATTGGAAAAAGACATCCTGAAGAACCTAAAGCCACTGGAATTTAAATTAATAATTGTATGTCCCCAACTGATTAGAATGGTATTTTCCTGAAAAAGTCTGTTTTCTTGTATAAGAAGCTTAAAGGTTATTTAAAATAAATGGACATTTTTACATGTGCTCTGGGACACTGCATCCAGCACATTAATTAGCTAGCCATGCTAATTAAAAACACACGCACATCATGTGTCATCATCCCCATGTGTCCCTGCACAGAAAAAAAGGTGGCAGGCGCTTTAAATGAAAGCTCACGATGTATTTTATTTCAGTGGCCCACCGCCATTTATCCAGCGCAGGGACATGCGGGGATGCTGATATGTGTGACGCAGAAGGCTACCAGAGCACATCTATTTCCATGCTTCACCAGACTCTATTAATTGGGTCTGCTCCGAAGCGCTGAATTTCCAGCGCATCAGAGCAGGCTCCCCACACATCTATAGGAGCCCAATGTGTCTTATGGTAAAATGCTAATGTGAAAACCACAACAACATCAAAAGATGTGTGTTGCAATTCATGAGGGGCATCAAACTGAAAAACTAAAGTTGATACTGTAATTATTCAAAATAAATGCATATGTCACATATCTGATCCCAACCCTAGTTTGCTAAAAATAATTTTTAAAAATCTAAAAAATTAAAAGGCATTTTAACATGCAGTTTCATATTTTTTCTCTAAAGGCAAGCAACTCCTTTTAGAGAAGTGCTGCTATTTTTGTGATGACACTTAATCTCTATTACTTAGAAGTAAAATGCAGCCTGAGCAATTTATATTAAAAACTTTAATAAAACACCCACACAATGACAAGAATGAGACTTTAATCAGTTTTAAGTGGAGTTTTAACACTAAGAGATAAAGGGTTGTTAAACACAATAACAAACGGACATCTGATTTGTATGAGGCATTAACCTGTACATGTCATATTTGATTTTTGTGTATCCTCAGTGCATAGCATTACACACAGAGCCACTGTTGCACAGCACAATAGTATTTGAAGAGGCTGAATCAGAGTAAGGCTGCTTAACAGACTGATTTTTTTAGTATATAGAGTGTATATATAGAGAGAGTGTATATATGTATATATGCACTCCATATGAAAACAGACTGAAAATTTGAACTGGCAGAGTAAGAGGCAGCTCTGCCAAACACTGCAGTTAAAGCCCCTTTTAGTGCACAGTTCCACCCCTTCCATCTGCATGCATAACACTTTTTAACAGTATTTAAAGGTAAACGAGGCACTTTGTGGCAACCACAGGCATCGTTAACATATTGCACAAATTTGCTATAACTAAACATGGAACTTGCACACTGGCACCCTAGTTTTTTTAAAGCTGAAACATTTGATGCTGAATGTAAACTCCACCTCAGTTTACAACTTGTGCCACACCAAAGTATTGTGATGGTATTTATAGAACTGCCCTTTAGTAACTGTGGCAAAAATATTTCAAGTGGGGCTACAGATGATTTAGGGATGGTACAGGGCCTAAGAGTAAGCTCTTAGAAAAGTGATGCTTTCAAGTAATTTAGACATGTAAGCTGCTGCACGTCCAAGAATTTAAGCATACAGTCCAGAAACTCAAAGAGAGATTACCTATAGAATGCATCTCAAGCTAAGAATGAATACTGTCATAAATAAAGTTTTGAATAAGGACTAAAAAACCTTTCAGTCATAGTAATTCTTGTCAAGTTCTATAGGGATGGTAAATGAAATAAAGTATAATGCCATTTTTCCATTTCCAATGACTACACCATAAAATGTAAGCAAGGCATCTCAAAAAACACTGAAACATTCAAAATCAAAACCCTCATTCAGACCTTCACATTCCAAAGGAATAACAACAGTGCAAAAGCCCATTGTGTCTTATTTCCAATCTGGCCCTTAGCGTTACATACTGGAATAATACAAATTAAAATTTGATATTATGAACCCAAAAATGGGACATAGGACAGTGTCAATATCCAAGTATTTTAAAGCATGAACATTTTTGTTTATTAGCCAACACAACTTTCAACTGTTAAAAAAAACAAAAAAAAAACAGACAAGGTGAAATATGAATCAAAGGAAAAAAAAGTTAAATGTCAGGTCTCAAGTTAACCATCTCCTGCTGGTCAATTGCATCATGGAAATTATGAGTACTGGACCAGCATTCATGATGTTAAAATCTTATCTAATTAAACCTACAAGTCAGAAAATACTTCATTAACTTGGTTAGATGTTTAGATTATGAATGTGATGAGCAATATTAACCAACAGATACAAAAAAAAGCATGTTACACCGTTGTTTACCAATATTATTTATATGAAGTCCTGCCTCTTCTCATTGCAATTCATTATTAATGCTGTTGTATGGGGCCCTACGGAATTCAGTTAGCTGCTAACTAGGTGAGAACAAAGTTTGCACCAATAGGGTAATTAAAGTGGGAAGAAGAAATGTAACTTTTGGATTCGCTATTCAGAATGCTTCAAGGTCATGGAGAATTTTATACTAACCAGAATTTTAACAGTTACTTCACATTTGTATACAACAGTAGTTGTACTCTGTAAGTCACCTGCAGTCTGGGCACATCAATTACAATATTCAAACATGAAGCTCAGTCCCTAATACTGGCGCTCTCTCGCTCGCTCTCTCTTTCTCTCTCTCTCTCGCTCTCTTCAAACAAATGATACAACATTGCCAGTTTAGAAATCTAATTCTTTTAATAGCAAACAACATGAGATAGAATATTTGGGACAAGTTTTATTTTTTTTAAAAAGTACACATCTTTATATCTGTCCAGTGTTGAGAATTTATTGCAACACTGGCTTCCTTTATACCATGTGTAATGTCTTTTTTTTTTTTTTTAAACATTGTAGGTACTAAATATTCAAGTAAAATTCCCTAACAGTTAACGACATTTAAAAAAAGTGTGCAAAACTGCAAAACTCATTGTAATAGAATGTGGAAAGTGAAAGTGGGGGAATGGCTGACAGATGTTTGATTGAATATATGCATCATAATCTTTAAAATAAAACACTAACCTGTAGAATCTCAAATTGAAATTTCCCGTGCACCATTACAAAATATTTTATATTTAATGAGAAAAAGCTTGCAAGGCAGCATATGATGTATTCACAGCAGGTATATGATTGAAAAACTAATAAAGTATGTGTAAAATGTTGACTGGTGTATGTACTAATAACATCTGACTTTTAGCACTGGCCTTGATTACACAGGAGATGGAGCAGCCATTACAATTGAGAAAAAACATTTAATAATTAATTGTCAATTTTTATAACAATTTTTTCAAACCCAGTTCGGGTTGATAGCCTCCACATTTGTATGGTTAAGTCATTGTTACTATGTTTCTTAACTGTGACCCCATTATTTTAATATCCCTTCATTTGTGAGTCTAAGATGTTGTGGAAGGTTCATTCCTGTACCCCCTTTATATACTCCCTCTAGCTGCCTTTTCTAGCACCATTATGCTTAAAAAATAAAATGCACAAACAACAAGCAGTGACAGCAGCCAACTCCTCAATTGTCCAGGATGAATTACTGTAGCATGCTAAAGAAAGGTGCATGTAAGTGGCTGGATATGGGACAGTGCCCAGAGTCCAGCATAATATATTCCTTTCTGAGCATTTCCATTCCCCTATCCAAAAATACATGCATTAGAATGTAGTAAAACCCTTTAGAAACTTCTCTTAGCCAACTGCAGACTTATCTGTTGCCACGTAAGTGCAAAGAAAGGGGTAGGATGTGAACCTGTGTAATAAAAGCGCTTTTTCGCAACTTTGTTTGGTGACAGAACACAAAAGGAAGAATTCCTACGTATACACATCAGATCTGTCTCCACCTTTATAAAACTGGAATAAAATGGGAAAGTGCCATCTTTATATTTCCTAATTGAAATTTTAATGTCTTTGACACAAAAAGGTATATACATAACATAGCTACGTAACCTTTTCAACTGGACAAGTGTCAAACCCTGTAGATTTATAGGTCAAAACAAGATTGGTCAGGAAAGAATTGTTCCTATAACTGGTAATCTGACACAATGTCCTATTGCCATTCAAAAAGGTCCTTTTCAGTTTATTCAAGTTTGTCTCTGCGTGGTATTTTTTCCCAGATAAAAAAAATATTCAGACTTTTGTAATCTGTGTATGCTGATCTTCATCAAAAGGTTCATTCTCTGGATCAGAGTCAGTGGTGTCAGAATATCTATAATGATCAGGTTCATTGTCACTAACGTCCGGTGTTACTGAAGTTGAACTGCTAGCCTCTGGATTTGATGGCTCTTCTACTGTTTTTGTGAAAAATAGCTTCACCTAGAAAAGGACCAGAACACAAAGTTAAGGAAACTTTTTTTTTTTTTTTTTTTAATTTACAGACATGGGCTAAAGCTGTACCCCAAAGGCTTTGCCGCCATAGCTATACTAGCCCACACACCAGCCAAATGGTCTGACAGTGAACAGATTTCATATTAATAAAAATTAATTCTTGCCAGTAAAGTGTATTATGCTACCATCCTCCTAAATATTAAGCTATCCTGGCAGAGAACATAGTTTTGCCAGAACTGGTTTCACAGATTCACAGAAGTTTAGGGTTGGAAGGGAACTCATGAGATCATTGGGTCCAGCCCTCCTGCTCTGGCAGGAAAGACTGCTGGGGTCAAATAACCCCAGCAAGTTCAGCACAAGGGGTTTCATATTCCCACATTATGGGAATATGAAACAACACAGCTCTTAAGATTTTCAACTGTAATGACTACTGTTTCTAACAGCTACCACAGCAGTAAGCTTTGTATTTTGTAATAAATTCAGTGTACAGAGGACAGTAGATGGAGTAGTATTTGATGAATCAAAGGAGCAATCTTCTGGCCACCAGCAATCTTTTGCTAAAATCAAGTCTATTCCAAACTGTTTGATATAATGTTACCTGTGATTTCCATTATTTTTCACACTCCATTTAATATTAATTTGCAATTTGTACAGACATGAAAGGTGTTTCACAGAGATGTTAAAATGTCCAGAGAATTGTTTATTTCTCCTGGCATAAGCAAGACATTCAATTTCATGAACAGAACCAAGAACAACAAGTTGATGAACAACAAGTAAAGAATCCCATTCATTGTTCACCCTTGCACATCAACTCAGGGGCTAAGCTGGTGGTACCAGTTCAGTGACACCTCACAGGGTGGAAGTACTAGCAACACTCAAGACAGAGCAGTTTTCAGGTTTTCTACTTGACTCCAAAACGGTTCTTTCAGTTTGAAAGGATGATTGCATTTATCCTAAATATATCATTCTGAAAGGTTTTTTTCAGCATATGAAAAGCTGTAACTATTTTGACTTCTGAAAAGTCTTACCTTTACTGTAATTATTCTAATATCAGTTACTAGTAAGAAACAAAAAAAAACTTCAAACACTGGAACTTTTGTTAAACAATGGCACATCCAAATGGAATTATCCTGTCTCAGTCTAAAAGGGTATTTACCTAACAAGCTATTCCTAGATAATGCAGTATATTGCAAGCTCTTCAAACTTGATTTACTTTGTTTTTTGAAATATACTGACCTTGAAATTTGGAGAGAAATATCTGTTGGCTTTGTCTTTATTTGCCTTGTCTAGATCGTTTTTTGTTAATGTAAGGATTAGATATTCCTTATCATTATCTGAGCGCTCTGTACTGAAAATACCATCAAGTTCCTGATCTCCAACTAGACTTCCATTTTCTACTTTGTCCAAATTTTCATCCAGTCCTATGAAGAATGTATTTACCCAGAAGTGAAACATTTTGTCCTGGTGGGTAGAATTGGGGGGGGGAGGGAGAGAAAAAAGCTTGTATTAATATTTATCAGTGGCATAACTGTCATGTGAAAACCTATTTACTTGTTTTAGGGGGATAATGGTTTAAACAATCTCAAAAAAAAAAAAAAAGACACCCCATAATAGGCTACGCACTGTTTTAGTTTTACACACAGTGCAGGTGAATCTGCATTAACCATATGGCTTTTCCTCAGTTAAATATTTTTTTTACAGAAGTCATTTTCATTTCTTCCTGAAAGTCTTTTGTAAATCAAAAGTCCAGATCTACAAAGTTGATTAAAACTGAATGCAAGCGGCAAGAAGCGCCAAACTAATATTTACCTGGAAAAAAAGTGTCATTTAATTCTACATATGCAGCGAAGTAAGTAGCTTCTTTCTGAGAGCTGATGAGTACACAGGCCTACTTTGATCAGCAGCACTGCTAATCCGCAAAGGGCACCGTTTTGTAATTAGTATTAGTTTTCTAGGCAACAAAATGCTCTGTTTCCCTTTATTTTTTATATGAAAATACGTGTGGTGGTAAACAAACATAATTCAATAACAAATCAGCAACAAGATTAGATTTCCTTACGTAATCATTTCACTAGTCAAGTGCTTTCTGATGTACGTGATGAGTAGGAAGCTAGGTATTTGCAGAACTTGAGTACAAAAAAGGAAAACTAATAATTTATAACGTTTACTTAGATATCCAAATTTACTGACATTTCTACTGCTCCAACCAAGGTTGGGACACTTTCTTATGTATACAGAGTACCTGACGGTTACCTGCAAACCTCTCCCACCTTATATTGTACCATAGAACAGCAGCATAAAAACGTAATCTAAATACTTAAACCATGTCTCAGATTTATAAATTCACTGATGTAACATAAATGGTAGATTACATAGCCTGTTGCTGGAGGTGTTGTAGTGCACTCTCACAGGTGCTTGTTTCACATACACCATTTAGCAGGCAGTAACAAAAGCTGTCCATGACCAAATGTAGTCTCTGAAGAAAATTAAAAGTCCACTATGCACATATTTATGTGGTATATGCTGAAAACTCCTGCATCTTTTTCCATATCTGGCTTTCTTACATTCTGGACAACCAAGACCAGACTGGACCAAAAGGTATCAAGCATGTTTAGTGGGCTAGATCCTGGCAATCTCAGACTGCTTCTGATCCTGAAATCCACCATGACAAATGCAAATTCATTTTCCTCTTGAAGCTTCTACAATAAAGCCCCAAATGGATCTTTCCATATTCAGAATAAAATGTAAGCAAAAGGATTAAATGCACTCTTACTGAATAAATCTCACTACATAGTTTGGTTAACGCTCAGATAACATACATATGTACAAAATGCAAGTTATTTCATGGCTTTGGGGTTTCATTTCTGCAACCTTGGTTGCATTAACCCTTTTTGGCCATTGAACAATTGAAATCACTTTTATATGCATTTATTTCACTACCTTTTAGGCATGTGTGCAGACTGCTATCATTATTGAGAAAAGGCTCAGCTTCTGTCAGAAAAGCAAGCTGATAGAACTTTAGTTGTCAGAACAGCTTTTATGGACAATTAACTAGACAATTTTCACTCCAACATGAACCTCTTTAAAGAGGCTATTAACCATACCACAACTGGACAGGAAAAAAAGCTACAAAAAAGTATCTTACTTTCATATTAAAACAAGTATTTCCTATGATGCAAGCAATATTTCAACGCTTCTGAAGATAAATTCTTTCAAGTTAGTGAAAATATTCTTTGAATACATCCAAGTTAAAGCCTAGAGCAAGCAAAACTACAACTTTCCTATGATTTTGAATTTCAAAACCGTATTTTGCTATGGTTTTGGCTTTTTTGACAATATTTTTCAGGAGTCTTAAATTTAGGCCTTGCAGGGTACAGCAGGGGGTGGAAACATTTATGAAAGATGGGCTGCAGTTTGTAACCAAGCCATTGCTGCAGGCTGCCTGTCCCCTGCTCCCAGAAGCAGCACTTCCTTCCCTTGCTTGCTCCACCCCACAGTCTCGGCTTAGATTCTTGTTGCCAACAGCCACGCCAAGGGGCAAATTCAGCAACAAGGGTAGAGAGCACATAGGGCTGGAGTGGGGTGGGGGCATAATCAGGCAAGTGGTAGTGTGTGACACAGGAATGCACCCATATGAGAGTCATGCAGCAGAAAGTAGTATCTTTGGGAAGCTCCTTCTGTGATCCCTGCTGGCATATGCCACTGATCACCCCCTAGCCACCACATGCCGGATCTGGCCTGCAAGCCGGAGTTTGACAACCCCCGAGGAAGAGAGTGTGAACCAGATACCCTGCCAGCCTTCAAGTGTCTCTTGTTTCCAGTTCTTAAATTATTCAGAAGGGACTCCTTTGAGAAGAGCAAAAACAGCTGAGCTGCCAGATGAAAAAGATAAAAACTGAAGGGAGAAATGAAACAAAAATAAAACAAAGACAGAACAGGTCAGAGAGAGAGTTCCTTGCTACCCCTGGGAGGGACACTGATTAATTTAAAAAGTAATTTAGAGAATCTTAGTAGTGTCTGCATTATACCATGGTAATCCAGGCAACCCACCAATTATTCTGCAAGCTGCCTACTTCTTATGTTACTTTAATAGAGGATTCAGGGCTAAAACACCATGCAAAAATCTTCCAGTTAGCCAAAATAGGATACCTTAAAAAGGCCTGTTCACGCAGGTGAAAAGTTTGGCTTGTTACCTTAAAAGTAAAAGTAAATAATAGAATGTGGAAAAACCAAAATGTAATTCTTTTTTGGAGGCCAAAATCAAGCAATGATCTTTTATAAAAGTATGGTGAGGAATATGGTAACATAGCAAATAACTGCTAGAAGCTCCCTTGAGGCAGAAATCAGAGGCTGTCTCCAAGCAAGTGAGCTTTCACGTGGTCTTTAGTTTCACGCTAAGAAGTTTTAAGTATTGCAATCTTCTTCCTCTATTCCCTTGCTTGTCTCCCTCTTGGTTTCTACAGTACCATCTGAGCACTTATTTTTATTTCCTTTCCAACCACAGCAATGCAAATAACTTGACTAGCTTTTTGAGACCATAGGTGCAAGGGCACGTGCATGTATTTATGACAAAGGACAGACGCTTAAAAAAAAAAATTAAAAAAAAAATGGAGAAGTTGACTAAATTTGTATTTCCTTCTTAAAAAAAAAAATACATCAATAGTTATTGCCAGTTATTGTTACTGCTATCCCTTGCTGACGTGCATTTTTGTTTCAAACTCATATTAGGAGATCAGCCTCCTATATTCAGCTATTCAAAGTTTCCTTATTTCACAAGAGACCATGCATGTAAAAACAAACTTTCTGATATGGAAAAGGTTGAGTACCATGGAAGGTTTTGAACATTTAGTTTTTAATAGGAAATCAGTGCAGAGCAGAAAACCTGAGGAAGCATTTACAGCAATGTGTGTTAATGAACAGATAGGCTGCTGAGTATTTAGTGATGGATTCTTCTTTTCTAGTCCCCACTCCTTTTCTATTTTTATGGGCTGCAGTTTTCTAGCCTGGATGTCACACATATTTATTACCTTTACCAGCTCTGCATCCGATGGCATGAGGTTCTGTCATCTCTGAAGCAGATATGTTTATACCATACTATTTTGGCATAAACAGAGAAGAGCAAATTCTGTGGACTGATTTAATCATCCCAGACCTGATGAATTTGATAGTTTAGGGCACTAAAGAGGTGACAAATCTTTCACCATTACTTCAGTTAGTTTCTACTTCAGCCAGCTGCTGACTTTGGTTAAGTATTGGATACACTGGGAAGGTATCTACCTACATAGTTATAAAAATTACTCTACTGCATGTCTACATACTGCTGGCAATTCAGCTTGTGTTCTTTAGTGAACTGTAGAAGGATTAAATAAGTGGAATATGACAGGATTTTATGGGACTTTAGTATTAGAAAGATCTGAAGTTAGACGAGCACTTGTGCTATTATCTATAAGCAGCTGTTGGGGACTGCTTCAATAATTGTCTCCCATCTCTTGACTGAGGCTATAAACAAGCCAAATTTAGGAGATTCTACACCTGAGAATCTGCTGCACGGGGTCAGAAATGTTTTCCCATAGGAAGGCTGGAATGATTCAGCTCAAATGGGGACTGGGCAGGCATTAGGATCTAGCTACCATCATTGCTTCTTCCTGCCTGCAGTGTGAATCAGGGAACCCTGCTCCAACCAAAGCCACCTGATTATGGGGCAGCATGAGTAGAGCAGAGTTTTGAAAATGGCTGTGAAAAGGTTAACACTGGACTGCACCCCTTCTGCCAGTTAGCAGGGAGAGAGAAGCTGACAGTCAACTTGAAGCACAGCATCTTCATGCTTCTATTCCAGCAAAGAAAGTTAGCTTCCTCACTTAAGAGGTAACCCTTGATTATGGAGGGCTGATTGGCAGAGGAAAAGGAAGTTGCATGCAGCATGCAAATAGCTAGAGGAGTTTGAGAAACTGGGATAGTTCTAGGGGTGCACCAATAGAGATTTTGGGGGCCTATAGCGATAGCCAGTTTTTAAAGAGGCATATTGGCTGATACCAATCTGATTTCCAATACGCAGCCTGGCAGCTTGAAGAGCAGTATCCAGCTGGTAAGTCTGTTGTGGTGGAAAGGGAGGCGGAAGGGGCAGATCAAGGCCCCTGCAGCGAGGGAGGGAGCGGGGCTGGGGCAGGTGCTGCTCAGCCAGGGTGGGGCGCAGGACCAAGCCATGGCTCATCTGTGGGGCATGGGGAGGGGGACCAGCTCCCACCACTGCACACACCCCAGGAGGACATGGGGGGTATACCCCTGGATCCGTGCGGGGTGAAGGTGGGCTGCCACTGCAGGCTGGGGCCAGATGAGACCTGGACTGGGCTTGGCAGTGGCACTGGGAGAGGGGTTGGGGGGCTATGGCAAATTTTGGGGTGGCTGCAGCACCCCCAGCACTACTGCCACCCACCCTCAAAGCCCAGCCCAGCCCAGCCCCCACCAGGAAGAGCCCAGCCCAGCCCCAACCCCATTCTCTCCCTCACCACAAGGGCCTCGATCTGCGCCCCCCAGCCCCTTCCTTGCCCCCTCAACAGACTTACCAGCTGGATGCAGCTCTCCAAGCTGCCCGTTTGCACTCCTTGCCGCCTACATTCTGTGCTGCGGCTGTGTGAAGGTATGGGGCATTTATCAGCCACAACAGGCAAAAAAACCTGATTTCCGATGCACTCAAATTTCTTTGTATCGGTGGTGATGAAACATTGGACCTACATATTGGTGCATCTCTAGATAGTTCTCTGAGCCCTATATTTTCATACTGAAGAATTAAAACACCTGGTTTAACAGGTTTAGCAATAATGTTTGATTAAAAATCTGTTAACTCAAACATCAATGATAAATCAGTATGCAGGACAAATACAAGACTTGGGAGGACCAGCATAATTTAAGCATGTTATTCCAAACAAATACCAAGTTATTCATAGCCTTGCCACTCAGTTTACTTATCCAACAATGACTAATAATAACCATTATACCACTCAGAAGATCCATGAATTCAATTATAGAATGATTGTTTGTCATATTAATCGGTTTTCATTTTATAAATGTATATTGTTACAGTACGTGCAGTTGCCTCCATCCTAATCCGCACCCATGTTTTCTTGTCTTTCTGTTATATTAATTTAGATTTTAAGCTCCTCTAGGCACAGGATACTACCTCCACTATCATTAAATAATGTATATAGATCATGCCACTATAAAACAATTATAATCATGAGGGGCAAACAAAGACTTTGTTATAAATTACATGCAAGTGTTTTAAGTCAGTGTTTCCCAACCAGTGTGCTGCAGCACAAAAGCTGGCCATCAGAAATGAACAGCTGTGCCACAGAATTTTGCCATGGTGATGAGCTACAATAAGTATGAGGATGGGGAATGCCTTAACAGGTGTGCTGCAGAAAACCTTTATTAATGCAAGTGTGCCTTGGGCTGGAAAAGGTTGGGAAACACCGTTTTAAATTACTTAAAACACTTATCTGGTATCTCAATTTTCTAATCTCAGCTCCTCAAATTTCCCTTCCTTGTACAGGTCAAAAAGCCTTATTTTACCTGTGACTAAATGGAACACAAACTAAAATCTCAGGTACCTAACAGTATTTCAAAATGAAGAAGTATCCATATGGAGCAGTACTTAAAATTAATCCAACACAAAAAATGCATGATTTTATTTCTACCATAAGAGTTAAAGGCAGACAATCCAGAATTAGTTTTAGGCCAAGATTTAGGACTTTGACAAACAAGAGGTCCAAGGATACAATTTTTCATTGCCACTTTTCCAAAAATAACTCCCGAATTCAAGATCTGCAACAGAACCCTCCCCTTCTTGAGTCTGCTTGATAGTATTTTCCATACTAAGAAAAAGAACAAACCTTTTTCAACATCTTGTTCTGTTTGTGGAAGAACTCCACCTTGATATCACCACACACCGGCAATGGTTGAGGGAATTCAAAGTACATATATTTGTCTTCACGTCTTGAGGGTCCTGAAGGGGAGGTGAATATCTTTACCTTTAGCTGGTACACCACAAACTGAGGATCTGCATGGTAAAACACAAAGTGGTATTATTTCCTCATTAGTATTATTATCTGTCAAGATCTGACCAAAACAGTTAAATCAGAATAAACTAAAATTTGCCCCCACAAAGTTTTCTAACCAAAACTTCAAACTCAATGACAATGACACCAGGGACTGCTGATGGAAAAAAAAAATCTGTCCCAAAACAGTTTTTGCTGGTGAAGATTCAGGACACCACAACAGCTTCGCTTTCATAATCTTGAATTGAAACTATAGAGAGAACAGTTAATTATTTTTACACATTAAGAATACTTAATCTGAAAATTATAAAAAACAACTAATACGAATGTTGCAACAAGTTTTTAGATTTCCTTCTTAGAGGAAGCTTGCATCATGGGATTTTAAAACATTTGTCTTATACAATAACTTTCACCTGGTGCAGAGAGAAGTACACATTTATAACTAATATGCAGGCTGCTAATGCTGACTAAAACAAAACAAAGTTAAAATATTCTGTCACAAGGCCTGAATTTTGACTGCAGCTATAAAAAGACTAAAATGCCCAAACAACTGGTGTTTATATGCATCCATAAAATCATCGTTTTTTGCCATCTTTTGTTGGCAGACAGTTCCTTCCCCTCCTTTTCTTACTAACCAAACTAGTTTTAGTTTCTACAGAAACCTGCTGTTGACTTCCCCTACCCCCTCTCATTTTTGTGCATTTCCAGATTGCATGTTGCAACAATATTAGTTCAGGTAACTCAGGAGGTTATGCTTGTTTCAGATTCCACTGTTAATTACCCACTACAATAATGCCAGCACTGAAATAGTGGAAAGAGACTTTCAAACATTAACAGAAAACAAATGCACAGTGCAATTACTACTCTGAAATTTAGTCTTTATGAGCACAAACAGGTGAATACAGGTTTTATATCAAATTTGTTTCAAGACAACTTGCTTACATATAGCATAGTTACAGATCATAATCTCATTTACAGACATTTTTTTCTATAAGTCTCTCCTTTAGAAAGAGGGCAGTAGGCATAAAATATCCTGGAGAATTAACAATTTTAGTCTTGAGTTAGTTTCTCAGTAATGAGATCATTCCACTTGAAAACCAACATATCATTCATAGAAGAAAAACATTATTTTTCAACAGGAATTTTCAAAATATCCACATTCTAAAAAAATCCAAGGAATTAAGATTACCTAGGGCAGAAGATAGCTGGTATACCTAACATTAATAATTTTTTGAGTGGGAAATGTTTAAATCAAATAGCATCTATTTAAAAAAGGGATAAAGCAAGTTCTCAGCTCTATTAACTAGCTTTTGAAGAATGAAAGCGAATGGATCTTGCCACGTTTGAACCCAACAGACTCTAGCAATCTGAAGTAGTTAAACGTGACTCTCTACCACAGAAGGGTCAGAAGGAATATTAAGGAACATCCAAGTCTAATCTCTAAACACATACACTGAAACATCTAGAAATAACGGCCACAAATTGTTAGAGAGAAGGTTCAGGCTGGACATCAGGAGACATTACTTTACAGTTAGGGCTGCCAGGCTCTGGAATGGGCTCCCAAGTGAGGTGGTACTCTCTCCTACCTTGGGGGTCTTCAAGAGGAGGCTGGACAGATATTTGGCTGCGGTGATATGATCCCGGCAACCGTTCCTGCCAGGGGCAAGGCGTCGGACCTGATGATCTGTTTAGGCCCCTTCCGACCCTAAGTACTATGATACTATGATCTGACATCCTAAAATGACAAGCTAGTTTTACACTTTATTGGTATAAAATGTTTCTGTTCCAAAGATCTATGTAAAACAGTGTATAGAAATGAATACCTTGAATACTGAGTAAGAAAAAAAAGAAAAGATTAATGGTACTTACTGCAAGTTCCGCCACTGAACATTGGAATTGTTTCAAACATCATCTTGTGAAACAGCAGTGCCACTGGTCTGTAATCCAGGTGATTCTTTAACAAGTAGCTATAGTAATACACATAGCGTCTCTGACTGGGAATAGTTACTCCCTAAATAAAAGGGAAGCCCAAAACTTCAAAAATTAGTCAAAACCATTCATTAATACTTCACAGCAACTGGCTCCTGCCTATTACTTTAGAACTTAATTATCTCAACCAGACCAATGCAAATGAAAAAAGGTGTCAGATGGGAGACAAAAATTAAACAGGGTGTGTAGAAGTGACTGCAAAATAGTGCAGAAATGCCCAAGCAAGCTTTATACTAGCTAGCTTAGGTATTGGTAGTAGTGTAGTCACAGGAGAAAGGAACCTCAGCACAGACCTGCTTCACAACAAAACATGCGAGACCACAGTAGACATACCCTTAATGACAATTTCTTTATTACTGGCCCCAAATCCTAGCAAGTTACCTAAAAATATGTTAGCACAAAGCCAAAATCCAGCAGTGACAGTGAAAAATCATCACCTTTTTAAGCAGGCAGCCAGTTCAACTGGGCAAAGAGCAAAGCACTATACAAAGAAAATACTAACACCATTCACTCAAAACGTGCACACTTATTGTGCAAAAAGGTTTTTCAAAGCTTATAACTGCTAAACCTTATCAAAAGTTTTTCAAAGCTTGCTCATGACGAGGTCTTGTGCATACTACCTATTGCCAGTTCTACAACTGGTAGGAGGTAAAAAAGCTTCAGAACATGAACTTTGTCATTCTGTATGCTACACTGACACAAACAGTTAAGAGGCTTTATAGGCTGCACTGAAATCTGTTTTTCTAAAAAAAAAAAAAAACACCAAACAAAACAAAACAAAAAACAAACAAAACTTCAGTCCCTTATTAGTAACAGAGTATTTACTGGGAAGACCTCTTGCACTTATCATATTTTAAGTTTATTTATTTATTTATTTTTAGAGACCCACTACAGATATTAAGATACATTTTATGCCTGTAGTATATTCTAACCACAGTTCCCAATAACACTTTCATTTGTAGTTCTGCAAAATTTTCCCATTATGAAACCCTTTTCAAAAAGTTTCACAAAGTCCAAAATGGAAAGAAAATAGAATAGGCCACCTATCCCAAAATCCCTGTCAGTGCAGGACTGTTTAACTAAATTACATTTAAAAATACTGAACCAAACATTTGCTTAGAAAAACTAGTCAAGGATTAATGTAATATTTTAACAGTGATTTTAAACTGAAATGCACCAGTAGAAGTTACAATTTAACCCACTTTTCAGAAAAAAGTTCTAAGTGACAAACAGAGTCAAATTTCTGCAGAACTTTTATAACATATAGTATCTATCCATTCTATATTGTGCAACTGATTAACATACAAATTCAGGTAGTGCATTCTCAAACTAAAACAAAGAAAAGTTGCAAATATTTCTGAAATAATATTTCATAAACAGGCCCACACACTTTGGTCTTAATGAACAGGACATAATGGTGAAGTAAAACACTCGGAACACTACCTTTATGAAGCAGCAGCTTTACACTGCAGAGCACAACGTGCTTCTTAAAATTCAGCAAATACCTCTACCCTAAAGACGTACACAGCATCTGACCTTTAAGTAGTTTTTCCCTTTATGAAAAGGTTACAAAAAATAAGGCTCCTTGTCCTCTAAAATGATCCTAATATTTCATAAAAATGAATTTTTCCTACAGGACCTAAACAATGGCTTTCTGAAACCTAAAATCTCGACAGCCTAGTCAGCATATGAGGTTTTGGGAAAATGTGTTACCTCAAGTAGTTGCCTTATCAAAACACTATCTTGAAGTAGCTTTAAGATCTTCCACTGAACCTGAACTTAAAAACTGGAAACAATCATGGTCTCAAAATGACAGCAAGCAGCTGAGCAGAGTTTCAGTTTGGGAGGAAAAAAATACAAATAGGAATAGTTTTCTCTTCTTATATCACCTATATTCTGGAGCAAAACCGCAACACGTTGATGGTGAAATACTACATAAGCTAAGTGCCAGATTGGTATCTCAAATAGAAACCAATCTTTTCTCAGTTCATGTGACACTATACTCCAAATCAAATGGTCTCTGATTCCCAACAGAGACAGCTCTTTGTACTACGGTTGTATGAAGCTTTGGTAGTCAAATCGATTCAGAGGAAATTCAGCCTGATTCGGCAGCCGAATCACCAAACCCGAATTGAATCACGAGACCCCTTAAAAGGTCCAGACTGAATCGGAAGCCTCCGAATCTATTCAGATAGATTTTGCACCGATTCGAAGATTCGGCCATAGACTATACAAGGCAGCAGTCCTCGACAACATTGGACACAGGTGCCTCTAGCTAGTAAGCATGTTGTGGTGGGCGGAAGGAAGGGGCAGATCAATGTCCCCACAGCAAGTGAGGGATTGGGGCTGGGACAAGCTGCCCATCTGGGGTAGGAGGTGGCACGGGACTCAGGGAGGGGGGCACCCACCACTGCGCGCCACAAGTCCAGGAGGGCATGGAAGCAGGCGTGTGCCCCCAGATCCATGTGGGGTGGACTGGACTGGACTGAGCTCCGGGTGGCAAGCCCCAATCACCCACCACCAGGCTACACTCCACAGGGGAGATGGGAGCCAGGGCTGCGCTCCAGGTGGCTAGCCCCAGCTCTGCCTACCCCGCAGAACATAGCCCTGGCTCTGCCCGCCTCACACAGCGCAGTGGAGCAGGGGCTATGGGGTGGCTGCAGCCACCCTAAAATTCCCCATAGCCCCTGCCACCAGCCCCACTCTGATCTGGATGCATGTGCCCGCCCCCATGCCCTGCCGCTGCTCGCCCAGCCGTGGCAAGGAGGAGCAAGGAGGCTGAAGCAGCTTCTGCTGCTGCGCGCTGCTTGTCCAAGGCAGCACAGTAGCACCGTCCCACACCCCCATGCCCCAGCTGGGTGAGCAGCGGGAGGGCATAGCCCCTGCTCCCCAGCACTTTCCCCCACCTGTCCAAAGCACAGCCTGGCCCAGCCCACCCCGTGAGGATCCAGAGGCGCACACCTGCTCCCATGCCCTCCCAGACTGGCAATGCGCAGTGGCGGAAGCCCCCCTCCCTGAGTCCTGTCTCCCCACCCCAGCTGGGCAGCTTGTCCCAGCCCCAATCCCTCCCTCGCTGTGGAGGCGTTGATCTGTCCTCCACATGCCCCTTTCCTTCCTCCCTCTGCCCACCACAGACTTACCAGCTGGAGGCAGCTATGTCCAGCGTTGTTGAGGACTGCTGCCCGTATAGTCTATGGCTGAATCTCCAGATCCAAATTGGCCGAATTGAATCGGGACAGTGATCTGAATCACCGAATCAAATCACTGATCCTCCAAATTGACCAAATCTGAATCAAATATTTGCTGCTTTGCACAGGCTTATTATATACCCAAATAGCTATGCTATATTAAAGTGATTTTTTTCAGTATCCCTGAGGAAAGATTTAATGAAGTGGTATCATATTATAAAATACTCAAAAATTGCCACCAAGTCTCTGGTATGCCTGTTCTTTCTTGAATATGGATAGAAAAAAATAAAGTCTATGTTACTCCTTGGAGGACCTGGAATTGTTCAACTAGACATGTTTTTAATATTATAGATAAGTTGTTCAGGTGTCAATTTTTAGAACAGAACAAAAGTGACACTTGAATGCAAAACCTCAAGTTCTAAAAACACTGACACGTAGTCTCTGACTGCTAACTGGTATTTCCTGAGCTGAATCAAAGTATGTTGTTGCTCTTTGTTTTTCACTATAGCATAGACAGCATATCAAGAACAGCAAAGCCTTTGCAAGTCTTGACTACACAATCCTCTGTAGGTACTCCACTGAGGTAGCAGAAAACTGAAGGTGTAGACAAATTCAGGACATCAAATTTAACAGAAGACGTAATCTAAAAGTGCACTGAAATCTTAGATTCGTCTATCAGACATCAGTTCTGATATACTCGACAATGAATAAAGTCAGGTACCCAATCACAGCCATTCTAACATGATTTCAGAAAATAATAATTTTTCATCTGCTTATTCAGACAGGACTATATTTAACATAATCATGACGTCAACGCCACTGACATCCAGAGCTACTCCTCAAAGGTCAGGTGGAATGGATGGCACGCACCCATTGAAGGGAAATCTCTGCTGAAAACGCTTCCGCGGTCACTTCCATCTAGAACCAAACCTGCATCTATTAAGCTAGAACGGTACAGAAAACATGTGCCTTCTCAATGCCAAGCCACCCCAGAAGGCTCTTTGACAAGATACTGGATAAAACTGTGAATTTTATTTTGGAATGGAAATAAGGAGGTAATGGATCTCCTGAAATAATCAACTCTGATGGTATAAACGCACAATTCTTCTGTCCCTCCCCGCCATCTGCTTGCCTATGTTTAAAAGAATAGGGTACATAATAAAACCCCTTTCCAGGGGAAATGATACTAATTCTATGTAGTATCAGGTATCCAGTAATTTAAACACCCACTTCTAACCTGTTTCCCCTTCCCCATTTTTCTTGAGAAGTGTTAGACTGATTTCATGATAGAAATGTCAAGCCATCAAGTTTTATGCAGGGGACTTCACACTTTTGCTGCTAGCTCTGAAGACAAAGTATTTAATAAATCAAAATACTTTTAACTAAACTGGAATGGCTCCAGCACAAGACAGGACAACCTGAAAAACTCCCTTTTAAAAACGATGTTTTGCTGATGGCTGGAAGCCCTTTTTTCCACCACAGCATTATACAGGAGGAAAACAGATAAGGTAGGATGCTACCCGACTTTTGACCAGAAAACTGTAACCTAGTTTCAGCATCTGACTGATACAGTAAAGCATCCTGGAAAGTTTGCTTTTCCAGAATGCTTAAAGGGAGTTGCAGTACAAGTACTGGAGACAGTACTCTTGACCAGTTATAGTTAAACTTATTCTTACAATTAGACTACTGTTTCCCACCTACATTATCTCAGTGCTACTAAATCCATGAGTGGATAATTTATTTTGCATATTAACCACAAAATGTATCATTCACAAGTACTTGCACCATTCTCTGGACAATCTACAAACATCTTGGTACCTTGTAACCATAGCATCAAGTAATTTAGCATCAAAATAAGTGTCAGTTTTCCTTAATCCTGTAAGTTTTGATCTTTGTTCAAACGGGGAAAGGTATTTGATCATCTTTGAGAAAAGCTTGGGTCTTCTGAGGCCTTTTACTTAGGACAAGAAGTCTGTTAAGACTGTTGTCTATCAAAAAAATTAAATATTCTCTGAAGAGCAGTGTAGGAGATAAGACAGATCTACAATAGATATACGTATAAAAATAACTTCTGGAACTTACATTTTAAGATGAAACCCATCTACAAACAGGATTTCTAATATTAGTTACCCAATTTGGATTTCTTTTTTTTTTTTTTTCTTTTTTTTTTTTTTTTTTTTAAATCAGAGGAGGGGAACTTAAGCACAGAAAGCTTAAAATTCAAGATTACACAGCCCAAGTTAACTAAACCTTTGTTACCAGATCAAGCAAAACACAATGAATCCCTAGCATTACAAATTAATAATTTTATTTCCTCCTCTCATGTAGAACTTCATTATCCTTCTCCAAAAATAATTAAAAGTAGATGTTTTTTAGAATTGTATGTACATACTACTTAAGCATATATTCTGTAAGACAACAAATTTAATATTCAGGATCTGCCTTCCAATTTTATGATGGAGATGTAACTTGCATTCTTCAGTCAGTTTTTTTTTTTTTATGTGGGTTGCAGGTATTTTGGTCAGAGATCACTTAGTTTTTACAGTGACACCCAAAACACTGTTCAAATTAAGCAAGGTACCTGACTAACCATTTTGAAATACCATTTCAAATTCAAGTTATTCTAATATGTCCATTCAAAAGATTTATATTGAGCCCACTTTCTTAATACCCAAAGTTAAGCTTATTGGGTTTGGGGTGATTTTCTGTATAAGAGCATGTGTGGAGGCAATTAGCCTTTAGAACTTTCTACCTTTTTCTTGGGGGGTGGGGAGAGGGGTTAAACCTCAGTCTCAGAAACAGTTCTGGGGTTTGCAGAGAAAGCCCAAGGAACTAGATTTGTTTACAAATCTAAAGATCGCTAGAGCAGCCATCAAATATGCTAAAAACAATGCTAACCAATCACAGGCCAGTTTAATTTGCTTCCTCATGGATCAGATAGCCTTGTTAGTTCCTTAAAAGATATCCCAAGAAAGAATCTTAGGCCATACACCCAATAGAAAGCAGGTGCTTATTAGAAAAATAAACAGAGAGATGAATATTTTTGTGTAATGTTACAGTAATTCTGAGACTTGCCCCAGAAAGGCCTGAATCTGACATTCAAAGGGTATGTCTCTCTAAAGTACTTTATCCATATACAAAAAGAAGAAGAGAGAAGACAGCTCATATAAGGTCATAAGACAAACCCCAAAGTAGCTGGGAAAAATACAGATTAGAAAACTGAGCGGGGAAAAAGATGGTCATCAACAAGAGATGGTTACAGTCAGGGGAAACAAAGACCCAATTCATAGTTTCATAGTAGCTAGGGTCAGGAGGGACCTGAACAGATCATCTAGCCTAACCCCCTGCCACAGGCAGGAATAAATGCTGGGTTCACAAGACCCCAGACAGGTGATCATCCAACCTCCTCTTGAATTTGCCCAAGGTAGGGGTGAGGACCACTTCCCTAGGAAGCTGGTTCCAGATTTTGGCTGCCCTAACTGTAAAATATTGCCTTCTGATCTCTAACTTAAACCTATTCTCCATCAGCTTATTACCACTGTTCCTTGTCACCCCAGGTGGTGCTGGGGAGAAAAGGGCTCTACCCATTTAATGTTGATCTCCCCTGATGAGTCTGTAGGCAGCCACCAAGTCCCCCCTCAGCCTCCTCTTGCTGAGGCTGAACAGGTTCAGGTCCTTCAGTCTCTCCTCATAGGGCCTGTCCTGCTGCCCTCTCACCAAGCGGGTGGCCCTCCTCTGAACCCTCTCCAGGCTGGCCACATCCCTTTTGAAGTGCGGCACCCAGTACTGGACGCAGTACTCCAACTGCAGCCTGACCAAAGTCACATAGAGGCAGGGTATCACCTCTCTGGACCAGCTTGAGATGCACCTTTGGATGCATGACAAAGTATGGCTGACCTTGCTGGCTGCGGTCTGGCATTGGTGTCTCATGTTCATCTTGGAGTCAATAATGACTCCGAGATCCCTTTCCACCTCTGTGCTTTCAAGAAGGGAACTGCCCAGCCTGTATGTATGCTGTAGATTCCTTCTCCCAAAGTGCAGCACCCTGCATTTGTCTACGTTTAACCCCATCCTATTCTTGTCTGCCCACTTTTGTAGTCTGTCTAAATCTATTTACAGCCTCTTTCTCCCTTCGAGTGTGTCCACCTCTCCTCACATCTTAGCGTCATGAGCAAACTTGGACAGCGTGCTTTCCACCCCCTTGTCCAAGTCGCTGATGAAGATGCTAAACAGTGCAGGCCTGAGAACCGAGCCTTGGGGTACCCCACTGCTCACATCTCGCCAGGTTGAGTGCAACCCGTCCACCACTATTCTCTGGGTGCACCACATCAGCCAATTTTTTACCCATCCAACTGTGCAGGCATCAATGC